TTTAGGAGGTACAGCAGAAATAATGTTTACAGTATGACAGAACAGAAAACGTTCTACAGTATTGCTTGTAGTGAACAAAATATCAATGAAACAAACAAAAGCATTCCAAACAAAAAAAAATACAGCACAAAGCCCAGATAAAAAGGAGGCAACTACAAAACACACAAAATTACTGTAGCTAATCTCTGCAATCTTCAGGGTTAGGCCACGTTTTCATCAACATCACATCTGACATCATCCCAAGCAATGCACCTGGGATAAAACGGCTTGCTATGTCAGATTCATCTTTGGCAGTCATCAACCGTGATGTCCCTGCAGCCAGCATCCATATCTTCCAGGAGGGACATGTGGTCATATGGCTGATGGTCGTAAACCTTCCACCTCCATGCAGAAAATAATTCTTCTATGGGACTGAAAAAAGGTGAATAGGGTGGAAGGAAGAGACGTACCAGTCTTGGGTGGGCTTCAAACCAAGCTGTAATGGCTTGTGAATGATGGAAAGCCACATTGTCCCACGTGAAGATCAATGAGAAAGGCAAGGAGGCACTCGGTACACATTGTAATGTTTGCCCCTCTCTGTCCTGGCACATCAACTGTGACCCTTTCTCCAATTACATTTCGTCCACGTTGACTCCTTTTGGCCAGAATGAATACTGCCTCATCTATCTACGTATATACAGTTTTTTTCAACAAGCTCTCACCCATACATCAGATACTTATTCTAAACTCTTAACACAGATTCACTCCTACAAAACACAATAGGCCAAATGGAAAATTTTCTTCTCAAAAACACATTTTGATAAACTTCAGGCACTCGAGGAGTACAGATGCTTCCCTCTTTCGCTCCCTTATCTTTTTTTCCCAAGGTTCTTTGTCCTGTCTGCCCACAGAGTGCTTCTCTGCATTTCTTCTGAAAAACTCAATTTTTTTTTTTACTAACCATATATTTGATAAACTGGTCATTCAATGCGATCGATAAAGGTTTTTTCAACAATGAGAAAGGAGCAGGGGGCTCCCACATGTCCACAGGGGACACTGTTGGATTTCTGGAAGGAGTAGAAGATCATCTCTCAGCTGCACATTGAGGACATTGAAGACGTGTGGATATTTGGTCTGACGATCACTGGATTTCTCCTGATTGGAGTGGGAGGATATCTGGTTCTCTGGAAATTTGGGAAGACGGGAGCGACGTCTGTGTGGAGACTTCTCAGACTGGGACGTTACTCGAGGTGAATTGTAAGCTGGACAATGTTCTAGCTGCGATACCGGTATTAGTGTGCAAAATGGATGTCATCTCGGAGAGAGTCACCGGACGGTATGGACAAGTTTATAACCCAAAATTGGCTTCACTGAAGGACTGGAAATGATCAGTTTAAAGACTGAAGGCAGAGAGGAAAATTATCTCAGCCTGACCCAAACAAATTCTTGTTATCTAAATCTGACGCCCTGGTAGCCTTGAGCTGCAAGCAACTAAAACCCCCACGAAGGAATGCAGACAGATGCTGTGACACCCCCCCCACCCCCCCACCCCGCTCTTCGGATCGGTGGACTTCAGCCTGGCAAGGTCATCAACTGGAGGAGTCAATGTGCTCTTTGCTTCTCCCAAAATCTCCCTCCTACCTGTGACTGTACAGTAGATGAGCGCCGTAGATGGCTACTCTCACTGCTAGCTAATCCCTGTGATCTTCAGGATTAGGCCACATGTTTTCATCAACATCACATCTGACATCATCCAAAGCGATGCACCTGGGATGAAACGGCTTGCTGTGTCAGATCCACCCTTGGCAATCATCAACCGTGATGTCCCTGCAGCCAGCATCCATAGCTTCCAGGGGGACATGTGGTCATGTGGCTGATGGCCATGAGCCTTCGACCTCTATGCAGAAAATAACTTCTCTGTGGGGTTGAGACAAGGATATACACTATACCTGGACATATAGTCGTAGCTCCATGCCTCTGTCACTGTTCCTCTCAAAAGGAGCAGTGTAGAGCTGCTTCATCCGCACTCTGTGTTTGGACAATGTTGGTGTAATGGTTGTAAAGCTGATGCCATCAACATTGTCAAATATCTCATGGTCCTCCACATAGTCTGAATTTCATGCAGTTTTATTGCATTATTTGCAACAACCATTTCCAAAATGGCAAACTCTTGATCATAGGGCTGCTCGCATATGGCAAAAATAATAATCACGATTATTGTGACTGAAATTGAGATCTCGATCATGTAAGACAATTTTTCAATTTATGTTGATTTTATTTGTTTTTATTCAGTTATAAAATTGCTCAGGGCACAATCAGGTCAAAAATAAATAAGAAACAAGATGATCACTAAAATAACTCCTGATTCCCAGTATAAAAAGGCCAATATTCCTATAGCTCATAGTTTATGACCCAAGGGCTGTAGACCTTGGTTTAACTCATTTAAGTCTAACCCGTACAGACCCAAATACCAATATCTTGCAAATACTGACAGCAAGAATTATGCAGTGGCATTTATAACAAATAATGTTCACAACATTTTGCAAAATATGTATTTAGTCACGTCAAGGTGCTGTAGGAGAGTGCACTAGCACCGTGTCCTCAGAGAGATTAATTATTAATCAGTGTGATGAACTTATTTCTATCTATTTCTACCTTATTTATAAACTATTTATTATTATTCACAGGTCCATCAGTTAATGTAATAATTGTCCCAACCACAGCTGCACCCCCTACCCCCCAACCCGGTCTCAGAGCAATCGGGCAAGCTGCATGTGTGTTTAGCGCGCCGCACGCGCACATTTAGCTGTTTTTAGCGGCTCAGGAGACCACAGGTACGGTGTGTGTCACTCACTCTGGTTAATCCAACAGGGAGCTGGCTCTGAGAGCCGTTTCTTTAGCGACTGACACATCACTACATCATTCCCTTTCCTAATGTCCTGAAGAACGGTCCGGAGCGCAGGCGGAGTGTTTAGCTAAATGTCAACAACAGTTATCCAGAAAAAAGCTAAGGGTTACCTGAGATGTTTCTGAGGTGTTCGCTAGGTACTTTTAAGATTTAAAAAGTCAAGAAGGGGGTCTGAAAAGTTGTTAGAATTTGCGTCAAAGTCGCTAAGTTGGCAACACTGTGAGAGAAGCGCTTCATTTGCAACTCAGGGCAGCGCAAGTGGGAGGAGGAAAAAATTGGCTTCTTTTGTTTTTATAATCGTTCAAAACTCAGATCGTAATTGTGATTAAAATTCGATTAATTGAGCAGCCCTACTTGATCATTACTGAGGAGTTTTCCTCTTCCCTCAGAGGGTGGATGGTGTTGCGTTCTTTAGAGGGAAAATTACATTACTGTATGGCCTTATTTATACTTCAAGTGACAATAGAGCTCCGGGAGTTGACGTCACTTCTCCCGGCATGCAACAGTTCAAATCGAAACGGCGCCATATTGGCAGGCAGAAGCCCGCAGCTGGAATATTTGTTATTGTCAGAAAACTCAATCAAACGGGAAATATGGTAGATTCCTGTTGTGCCCCAGGATGCAGAACAGACGCGGACGACATAAGGAATGAGCTATCTACAGGATTCCCCAAGATCCGGAGCGCCGCAAACGTTGGATCATTGTAATAAAACGCGCTAGTGACTGGGCTAAAATGAAGCTGTGGGATCCCGAGAGAAAAGGTTATGCAGCGACCGCTTCATATCAGGTACTTAAACCAACGTTTCCTCAACTGTGTATGGTATTTATTTTAAATGTTTTATTACGATTCTTAGTGGGCTCCCTAAACTTATTTTGGCGTGGCTTTTTCCGTCTTATTACTCATAGCAACAAGTAAACATCATGTAAAACGTTGCCTCGTGTTTCTGTGTGCTGCAAGCATCCTCTGGGGGAATCCCAAGGGGTTCCCCGGCCAGGTCCGGTAAGAAGTCCGCTCCGACAGCTTCTGGCGTTTTTAAAAAGTATCCCAGGGGCACGGTAAGGGTCGGAGATGTTTAGTCTATTTAATTTCTGACTATATAAAACGATTTCTTCGGTTTTAAAGTGTGAAGTAAACTCCGACGAAGTAAAATCCAAGCCGATCCCGTTCATGTTCATGTTTACGATCCGTGCTTGTTTACATTTTTTTCCTGCCAATATGGCGTCTACTAACTGAGAGTCACGTGGGGTCCGGAGCTCTATCGAAGCAATCCATTATAAAATGAAATATTACCTGCTGGTTTGTTGAAAGATGCTTATAATGGAGGCAACTGTTGACCGACTCAAATTGGGCTGCCAACCTCTTTTAGTCAAAGACCATGGTTGATTACATGATCAGTGATGGTGGCACAAAATTACATCACTGACTACTGTTCTTGCAGCCCTTGGAATGCCACCACCACTAATCTTACGCCTCCACCTTGCCCCCTCCTTGGGCCTCTTGCTCTTACTCTTCCTCGTCCTTGTCCAGGCATTGTAGTGTTTGTCTTTTCTGTTTCTGTTTCCAAAAACACGACACCTTACCACTCTCCTTTTATTTTGGTGTCAATGTAATAGAAAAATAACACCTTCCACTGAGTCTAAGCCTGAATGTAATCAGCTGTGGTAGGCCCAATTTACCCATCATACATCAGCTGTGTGTAAATTATTAAATTTTTTGTTTATTATTAACTGATAAGTATTGTTCTTGAACTCATCATTGCAGAAGCAGAGGTTTTTATACTGCATCTAGGGTTAGGAATATTGGTTTTGCTATTGTGGGATGTGTGTTAACATTCGCAAGTACCACAAAAACAATCCATAGTTTTGTTGGGAGGAACAGCTTCTCTGTTAAGACAATGTAAGCCTGTCGTCTACATCGTAAAGCTGATTTTAGGGTTTTACTTTACATGTTACTTCTCTCACCAGTCTCATTTTCTGTTGAAAAATGCTTTTTAGACATAAACAAAAACAGAAGAAACACTGAAATACAGCTAAATGTATTTAATATCAGCTGGAGGTTTATATTAAAGCAGCATTAAAGCTGAATACCACAACACTTCTAATGAACTCTTACCTTCAGCAGGACATCTACGTACACGTTGTGCTGCGACATTATCTCCTTGATGTCCCATTTAACTCCAGCCATTAGCAGCAGCATCTGCTCGTAGTCGATGGCCTTGGCTGCTACGATCCAGTATATCGGTTTCCTCAGCTCACCGGCTGTAGAGACCGTCTGTGTGTGCGAACGGAGGAAGAGTCACTCTTACACGTTTTTAGAAATAATCGAATAAAACTGTAATGTGTGATTTTATTCAATAAATGCTCAAAAAGTAATTTGACGTAAAAACAAGAGTACTTATTATGCTCATGCGGATCCGTTGTCTTTAAAATCACAGATTACGAAAATAGAGGACCTATACCATTATAAAATTATGCTAATTATGTTTAGGGTTCTCTCCCTGAGAAAGTACAAAGGTTTTTGCAAAGAGGGAGAGTAATTGTGATTTAAGAGGCGTACGTATGTTTATTGTACAGGAAGCTAAGAAAGGTATTAAAAGGAGACGTATCTCTATAATAGGAGTAAAATTCTGGAATGAGGCTAAAACAGAATTAAAATTTGCAACTACACTTTCAGTTTTTAAAATACTAATCAGTAAAAATATTTGTGATTACTATTAATTTGAATTTGTTGGATGTGTATGTGTTTATACATTTTGCTATTGTTACATTGAGGGAATTAAAACAATTAAGTAAGTAGGTAAGGCTTCTGCCTATATTCAAAAGTTAATGTGATTGTATGGGAAATATGTAGATACTGAAATAGATACAGTACACAAGTATGTGAATATATATGTTTGTGGAGGTATGGAAATACATGGATGATATGTTACTGTCTACATGAATTACCATTTTTGATGATGATGACTGAATAAAATTGATCATTCATTCATTCGTTCGTTCGTTCGTTCGTTCATTCATTCAATGTATATAAAACCATTTCAAATGCTAAGCACAAAAAGGGGAATGGAAAAACGCTGTTTGTACATGACAGTTGTGATTCTGCTAGGACTGAAATGAAATATTTTTCAAATGGAAATGTAAACATGCTAACCACTTAATAGGTGAGACATAAACATGTTCATGAATACATGTTAGGGATCATTCTGGAAGAGCTCCATACAAACTCCACAAATATGTTAAATTTCACATTATCTAAGACTGACCACTTTCCACACTCCACTACTTTCTTCTACAATCTGCTCTTTAACTATTATTTCCTGCTATTTCAGCTGTTAACTTTATTTTTTCTCTAAGTGTTTTTCTCCCCAGAAGAAGCTACAATGATGTTCTGCTGAGCTGTGGTGGCCTCATGGAGGGGGCCATTGGCTTGAACACTGTTGCTTACCACTCAAAACATTCTCCCTCTCCTGATAATAACATTTTACTTTCTTTGAAATTGAATGTGCTACTACTAGTTTACCCGGTTAATTGTAGATTCACTAGGATAAATATAATGAACTTTATCTCTCACCAAATAGAATATTCACTAAGAAATCACAATGCTACTTGGTATATATTTTGTGTGTGTGTGTGTGTGTGTGTGTGTGTGTGTGTGTGTGTGTGTGTGTGTGTGTGTGTGTGTCTGCTCTGTCTTCTCCATCCCCAGTGAGTCGTGGCGGATGGCTGCTTATACTGAGTCAGGATCCTCTGGAGGTTTCTTCCTGTTGAAAAGAGAGTTTTCCTCTCCACTGTCGTTAAATGCTTGCTTAGTATGAGGACTGCTGTAAAGACTCTGACACTAGTCAGTGACTTGATGCAATTTGCTGGGTTCCTTATATAGGAAACTGTTTTCTGAATAGCTTAATGACCTGACCTTTATTGAAATGATTACCATGTGAAGTGTCTTGAGACGAGTCTTGTCGTGACTTGGTGCTATATAAACAAACTTGAATTGAATTGAACTCAAAGGCAGACGGATGCCACTTTTGCTAAATCATCAATTTCCTTCAGTCATCTGGGGTTTAAGCCCAGACTCATTAAATAGTAACTTTATAGAGCAGTGATGAGAGATTCAATTAATTCATGAAATACTTTTCTCTGTGTCAAAAAAAAAAAAGAAAAAAAGAAAAAACAGAACGCTGGTGATGTGTTCTGTCCCACTGTGGCTGACAATGATGACAGGAATAATCTGTAACATTCTGATTAATAAATACATGATTTTCACTATACCTGTGAATAAAACTGTTGTAGGAAAGGCTTCTTAGCAGCGGGCATCACGGTGTCCAAGTGGGACTGGAGGGACTCAAACTGCTCAGCCAAAAACACACTAAAACACACACAATCATTAAATTAGTGCAGAAATGTGATTAGTTATTCCAAATCAGGTTCTGTAGGGGCAAATAAGAAAAGCTGGTTGTATTTAGGTTTACAGCTGCTGATTCCCATCAACTCATCTTAACCTGTAAAACATCTAATAGTAAAGATTTACATTCCCTTCCGTGTGTTTTCATCAGAAGTCACGCATTCTAATATGTTAGCAGAGGAAGGCTGTTTGAGCTTCGTATTATTGTTGAGCCTTCAGAGATGTTCAATAAAAAAACGGAGAATAACTGTCGCTCCAGCTAGCTCATGATCATCAAAGTTTAGGGTGTTGGAACAAATGCATCTTCTCACACATCATTCATCTGTTTCCTTTTTTTACTACCAATGATCAGAAAACTACTCATTTAATCCCAACAATTCAGGTCAAATCTGTTTTATTAATTAACAAAACTAATGTAAACATAGAGGACAAAGGCATTCCCAGCTAACAGTTAAGTCCACCGTGTAGCCAGGTATGCCTAGGAACCTTTGACATTTGAATCGATACAGTACCAATTCCCAGTACTTAGAAATCTATACCGGTACTTAACAGTACCAATTTTCAATACTTTTGAGTGTTTAATAATTAATTAAATCTTTTTTTTTACATTTATCTCAATATATAACCACATTTGATAAATATCATGATAAATAACATAAAATGCTTTGTAATTTTTTAATGCACCTTTAACAACAACTGTTTCTAAATGATGCAAAAACCAAACCCAACTCCATGGACTTCTGTTGCTCTTCTATAACCTCATGAATAACTGACAAGGAGACCATTGATTATAAACTACAAATAAAACTAAAACAAACTTCGATACTGTTTGTATTTTATTATTTTGGTGTTTCACAAACTAAACCCAGCTCCATGGACTCCTGTGCCCTCTGGACAAATGGTGTAATGGTGGGTGCTTGTAGTTTTATAAACTGCAAATTAAACTGAAGCAAAAATCTTTGCTGTGAACTAAATTTACTGTGTACCGTAAATCCTCTAATACAGGCCCGGGCCTGTATTTGACTCAAGCTCATCAAGCTCCAGGCCTTTATTGGAAGGAGGGCCAGTATTAGAGGCAGGCCTCTATTTCTAATTGAGCAACATGAACTAATGGTTCGCTGGAGTTTTTGACAATTAAAATTGCGCCCACATTTTCAAAGTTAAACACATTTCTTTTAACAACGGTAGTTTCTGCTTCAGCTATCTCCCCCCTCCCCCTGCTTCAGCCCTCTCTCCCCTCGCAGCGGCCGCAAACTCACTGATGCACCTGCAGCCTCTCAGAGTTCCTGCTGCTCTAAACATTAAAATAATTATTTCATTTTCTGTTCGTCACTTCTGATGACCTTCAATGGTGTCTGTTTGTTGCAACAGCAGGTACAAAAACTAACTTGTTTTTATTTGACTATTTTTCTGTCCTGTCTGTTTATTATCTTCCTGCATCTCAATCCTAAAGAAAAACTGCTACCTGGGTTCATATATATTCACCTCATGAGTTACCTTTGAACTGCAGTTCTAAAAGATCTACCGACCGCAAAAACAGCGGAGCGCTCGCTGTTTGGCGGCCGTATCAGTGATCAGTGCGTCGGAGGACAAGGTGATGCGCGCAGCGCCCCGCTCCACAGCATGCAGCGAAACGCATCAGGCGCACATAAAATACAGAAAACATTAAAGGAAATGAACTGACATGAACGATCGCATGTTAAATTAGTTTTTGAGGTGGCGACACCTGATTGTTACTGTGGCCGTGCTCAGGAGGCAGATCTACCGACCGCGAAAACAGCGGAGCGCTCCCTGCTTGCCGGCCGCATCAGTGATCTTGCGTCGAAGGACAAGTTGATGCGCCCCGCTCCACAGCAGCGATACACATCAGGCGCAAATAAAAGACAGAAAACATTAAAGGAAATGAACCGACATGAACGATCGCGTGTCAGTACCGACGCTCTGGCACAGCGTGTTGCCCCCCCACCCCCACCCCCCCCAGCAGGTGACAGGAGCTTGTCACCTGCTGATAGCAGGCTGCTGTCTTTTCCGAGGGCTGCATCTTGCCGGTCATTATCACGTGACAGTGACTAGTCGACGACAGGCATAAAAAGTCACTACAGTAATCCCTCGTTTATCGCGGTAGATGCGTTCCAGACCTGGCCGCGATAGGTGAAAATCCACGAAGTAGGGACTCCCAGCATGCCCCTCGCGGGGATTCCCTCCACGTTGCAACTACGTCACAAACCGCAGCTATAAACGGAAGTCGCCTTTTCAGCTCACCACTCAGTCATCGTTTCTTCAGATTCATGATCAGAGTTTCCAACCTACCGATCAATCCAACGAACTATCAGCTCATAGTAAGTTATCTTACTTACTTCTGGATAGCCCGGCATTTCCGTGTCACTTCGTTGACGCTCGAACGCTCGGGGGTTTCCTAGATCAGCCGGCGTTTCACCGACGCTATCACTTCCGCGTCTGTGAAACCACGCTAACTATTGAATTATCGGATGATCACATTCTCTTTTTGTGGGTAAAACTCAAGAAATTTTTTTTTTTACTTTTTTTTTTGTTTTATTACAAAAAGTGCATTTTATGATGAAATTGATGAAAAAAACAAGCATTTCTTGATATTTCGCATAGAAAAATACCGCGAATCAGTGAAAAATACCGCGAATCTGCGAATTCCCCCTGAAAAATGCTCCAAAGAAAAAATCCGCAAAGCAGCGAATCCGCGATGAACGAACCGCGAAGTAGCGAGGGATTACTGTATAGTGAAGTTGACTAGGTCATTCACCCCCTACTGCTGCTCTCCAGAGTGTTCTGCAGCATAATCAGCACGTTCTCTTTGAACTTGATAGTGTAATGACCTGGCTGGGGTTGTAAGCCAGGTGCATTCTGGGTATTGTGTTATATGTGTTTCCTATCGTTCTGCTAGTTCCTATGTGCTGATTTGCGTGTTGTGTGAGTGTTATGTAAGCCACAGGGAAGGTGATGTGTGTTCTGTGGAGGGGTTGAATTAGCATGGTTAACTGACACCATGACTCTGTGTGGTAGGAGCGTGATAGAGGATCGTGTCTGTAGCGTTAGGAAGCGTTGAAGAGAAAGCCCAATAAAGGTCTGCGTGAACCTTTACTGCCTCCTGCTGGTTGATTTGGAGACTATAACCCTGCCGCTGGGATGCTCATACTTGCTTGTTACCACATTCCACCCGGCCACAATAAGAGACCGGCCATTATTTACCTCCGCTGACTCCGACACCGGCCAAAATTGGAGACCCGGCCTTTAATTGAATACCGGCCTGTATTAGAGGATTTACGGTATCTTCATTCCCTTTGCTGTTCTTTTTCAAACAGTTGATTTTTCCGACTTGGAAGTCAGGATTTCCGAGTTCCGAGGGGAAAGCTAACGCACCATTAGCCGATGTTAACAGAAGTTAAACATCAAGCTAACATAGTTTTGAACTATTTATTTGTCATTATATGGGGATGTTTAGGACCCAAATATGCAGATTACCCAGACGACAAGAGGCAAAAGTTAATTCAAAGTAAAAATCCTTTTATTGCAGGTTGAAAGAACAAAAATTAATCCAAGGCAGCGAGCCAAAAGTCCAAAAGTCCTGGAGCACAGGACACCCAAAGCTCTCTTAGAGCACAAAGTCAGAGGATCAAAAGGTCCTGAACACAGGACACCGAAAGCTCTCTTAGAGCACCTAAAACCTGGAGACAAAAAGCTCACAAAGAGCACGAAGACCTGGAGACAAGAAGCTCAGACAGAGTACGAACAAACGCTGACAACAATGCAATGGACCGACACTAAACAGAGACAATTCGGGGCTTAAACACACAGGGAGGAGTAATTAGGGAAACAGGCAGCAGGTGTGTGGAGTGAGGGCTGGAGGGAAGACAGGTGAATATAATTATCTAAATGGGGGAAACAGAACCAGAGGAGGGCAAATAAACCTAAAACTCTAAAACACTAAACTAAACCTAAAGACTGAGGGAAGGACTCACACACATAATAACACACAAACACACTCACACACACACACTGAGCTGGGGAGCAGACATGCACACACACACACACTGAGCTGGGGACAAAGAGGCTGGAGCTACAACTGGAGGGGCTGAGGATGACTAAATGAACACCGGACCTGAGGGAAAGATATGAAGGCCTACAAACAGAAGAAACATAAATGAGACGCAGACAAAGGACACATGAGGGCGCTATGAGACACAGAAGGGAATCTAGAGAGGAATGGAGAAACATCAGGAGACACATGAAGGAAGACGCAGACCATGACATTATTTACCAGCTGGAGAAGATAAAGACGATGATAACTTAGGTTGTTGTTGATGTAGTGGACCCAAACTTAAGAGGCTTTCTCTCTGCCATGCTGCTTTCTGTTTACAGCTTGCCCGCAGCAAAGGACGACATAACGTTCTTGCGCATGTGCTGCTGTCTATCTTGGGAAATCTCTTATGTTCTCATTAAAGAGACAATGTGTAGTTTTTACCATTAATTTCAGGAAACATCCATCAAAATGTTGTTGAAAATTAATTAAATGATGCCCAGTTGCTGAAAAATATTGGCGGCTTCCTAACATATAACCATAAAAATCAGGTCTAAAACACACGGCAGCGGGTCTAAGTCTCTGGGGGATGATATATTAGACGCCATGTTTCCTTCTACGGGAGCCTATGAGGACAAAATGCATTTACTGATTTGTAACAAACGATTACAAAACTTTCACCATTCATAAATGTTGTTGTTTTACACATTTACCTCTTCACTTGTCATTGATGAAAGGGAATCTGATGTGCTTGTTAGTTTGCTAAAGTTTGCACTCCCCAGGGCTTTTTGACCGTAATGGACACCTGTTTGTAAGGTTCCTACGCCAACACAAAAATACTACTTGCTTGCAACGACTTAGGTATCTACTGCCCCCTATCGCCAGGAAACATACACACTGCCACTTTAATGAA